GCTACTCTAGTAAATATATGAATGATAAGAGATGAAACAGCCTTATTGATGATATGAAGCAAGTTTTAGTGGTCTGGATAGAAGATCAAACTAGCCATCACATTCGCCTATGCCAAAGCCTAATCCAGAGCAAGGCTCTAACTCTCTTCAATTCTTTGAAAGCTGAGAGGCGAGAAATCTGCAGAAGAAAAGTTTGAAGCTAGCAGAGGTTGATTCAGGAGGTTTCAGGAAAGAAACCAAATTTATAATAGAAAAATGCAAGGTAAAGCAGCAAGTGCTTATGTAGAAGCTACAGCAAGTTATCCAGAAGATCTAGCTAAGATAATGAAGGTGGCTACACTAAACAACAGGTTTTCTTTTTTTTTTTTCTTTTTTCTTTTTTTCCCCCTCATAACTCCCCTCCTCCCAGTTCCCGCCCCACCCTCCGCCCTCACTCCCCATCCACTGTCCTCATCCATAGGTGCACGATTTTTGTCCAGTTTCTTCCCGCATCTCCCATTCCCCTTTCCCCCCCAAGAATAGTCAGTCCATTCCCTTTCTATGTCCCTGATTCATTATAATCACCAGTTCATTCTGTACATCAGATTATTTATTCACTTGGTTCTTAGATTCACTTGTTGATAGATGCATGTTTGTTGTTCACAATTTGTATCTTTACCTTTTTCTTCTTCCTCTTCTTAAAGGATACCTTTCAGCATTTCGTATAATACTGGTTTAGTGGTGATGAACTCCTTTAGCTTTTCCTTATCTGTGAAGCTCTTTATCTGACCTTCAATTCTGAATGATAGCTTTGCTGGATAAAGTATTCTTGGTTGTAGGTTCTTGGTATTCAGCACTTTGAATATTTCTTGCCATTCCCTTCTGGCCTGCAAAGTTTCTGTTGAGAAATCAGCTGACAGTCGTATGGGTATTCCCTTGTAGGTAACTGAGTTTCTTTCTCTTGCTGCTTTTAAGATTCTCTCTTTGTCTTTTGCTCTTGGCATTTTAATTATGATGTGTCTTGGTGTGGTCCTCTTTGGATTCCTTTTGTTTGGGGTTCTCTGCGCTTCTTGGACCTGTAAGTCCATTTCTTTCACCAGGTGGGGGAAGTTTTCTGCCATTATTTCTTCAAATAGGTTTTCAATATCTTGCTGTCTCTCATCTTCTGGCACCCCAATTATTCTGATGTTTGTACGCTTGAAGCTGTCCCAGAGGCTCCTTACACTATCTTCGTATTTTCGGATTCTTTTTTCATTTTGCTTTTCCGGTTGGGTGTTTTTTGCTTCTTCGCATTTCAAATCTTTGGCTTGATTCTTGCGCTCCTCTGGTCTGCTATTGGGTGTAATATTCTTTATTTCCGACCGTGTATGCTTAATTTCTAGTTGTTTCTTTATCATAGCATCGAGGGTCTCATTAGTTTTCGTGAGGCTCTCCAGAAGTTTATTGCAAGCCCTCAAAATTGCGTTTTTTAGCTCTATATCCTCCATTTCTGTCATGTTTTTTTGTCTCCGCATTTTTTATGCTTTCTTGGTGCACCCCCTAGTGGTCTTTGTGCGCAGTCTTGTTCTAGTTGAGCCTTGATTGTTGTAGTTAATACTAGAGGGATTTGACCACCAGGCCGACTGGCTGTGTGAATCAGCTGTGTCTGCCGCGGAAAACTTCTGTCCTCTGGGGAGGTGCTAATCTAGCCTTTGCCTGAGGCGATCCGGCAAATGGCTCTGCGCAGGGCTTGGGCGGGGCGGGCTCAACAGGGCGGGCGGAGGGAGCCGTTATGGTGCCCTCAGTCCTGTTCCCAGAGGCTCTGCTTCTCAGAACCCCAGGAACCGCTGCAAACCTCGGAGAGAAAGCTGCCTTCCAACTGATGCCAGACACTCCCGCTTCTCCCGTTTGGGTCCGAGTCCCCAGCGATTCGCCCGTATCTGGAGCTCAGAGTCTGAGACTCCCCCCTGACCGAAAACGACAACCGCGCTCTCAGCCACCAGCCCGCTTTGCGCGCGCACCTCCGCACCTGAGTATTTTCCACACTGCGCCTCCTCTGAGCCTCGGTGTGCTGTTATTTTTCCTTCTAGTTGAAGAGTCTCTCCTCAGCCAGCCTTCCTGTGGTTCTGGGTGATGTCCGTTCCGTCTTTTAGTTGTATTTTTGAAGTGGTTGTTTGCGGCAGCAGTCTGCGGTGTTTACCTATGCCGCCATCTTGGTCTCTCTAAACAACAGGTTTTCAATGTAGACAGAACAGCCTTCTATTGGAAGAAGGTGCCACCTAGAACTTTCATAGCTGCAGAGTAGAAGGCAATGCCTGGCTTCAAAACTTCAAAGGATAGGCTGACTCTCCTACTTGGGTCTAATGCAACTGGTGATTCCAAGTTGAAGCCAATGCTCATTTACCATTCCAAAAATTTTAGGGTCCTTAAGGATTATGCTCAGTTTACTCTGCCTGTGCTCTATAACTAGAACAACAAAGCCTGGATGACAGCATATCTGTTTACAGTGGGGTTTACTGAATATTTTAAGCCCTCTATTGAGACCTATTGCTCAAAAAAAAAGATTCCTTTTATTTTTTTTAATATATATTTTATTGATTTTTTTTTTTACAGAGAGGAAGGGAGAAGGATAGAGAGTTAGAAACATTGATGAGAGAGAAACATCGATCAGCTGCCTTCTGCACACCCCCCCCACTGGGGATGCGCTCGCAACCAAGGTACATGCCCTTGACTGGAATCGAACCGGGGACTCTTCAGTCCGCAGGTCGACGCTCTAGCCACTGAGCCAAACCGGTCAGGGCATCCTTTTAAAATATTACTGCTCATTGACAATGTATCTGGTCACCCAAAAGCTCTGATAGAGATATACATGAGATTAATATTTTAAACCCTGCTAACACAACATCCATTCTGCAGCCCATGAGTCAGTAGTAATTCTGACTCTCAAGTCTTATTATTTAAGGGATGCATTTTGTAAGGCTATAGCTGCCATGGATAGTGATGGTAGATTATAGTGATGAATCTGGACAAATTAAATTGAAAACCTTATGGAAATGATTCACCATTCTAGATGTCATTCATAATTCATGGGAAGAAGTAAAAATATCACCATTAACAAGCATTTGGAAGAAGTTGATGGATGACTTCAAGGGGTTCAAGACTTCAGTGGAGGAAGTCACTGCAGGTGGGGTGGAAATAGCAAGAGAACTAGAATTTTAAGTGGAGCCTGAAGACGTGACTGAATTGCTGCAATCTCATTAAAAAACTTCAGCAGATGAGGAGTTACTTCTTTTATGGATGAGCAAAGGAAGTGGTTTCTTGAGATGGAATTGAGTTCTGGTGAAGATTTTTCGACAACAAAGGATTCAGAATATTACATAAACTTAGTTAAAGCAGCGGCAGGGTTTGAAAGGATTGAGTCCAATTTTTTTTTGCCACTCCAATTTTAAAAGAAGTTTTCAGTGGATAAAATGCTGTCAAATGGCACTGGCCGGTTTGGCTCAGTTGGTTGGGTATTGCCCCATGTACCAAGACGTTGCTGGTTCGATTCTTGTTAAATTCTTCTTTTTTGTTGATACTCACCCAAGGAAATGTTTCCATTGATTTTTAGACAGAGTGGAAGGGAAAGGGAAGAGACAGTGAGGAGCATCGATGTAAGAGAGACACATTGATTGGTTGCCTCCTGCATGCGCCCAACTAGGACTGGGCCTTGAGTCTGCAACCGAGGTATGTGCCCTTAACTGGAATTGAACCTGGGACCCGTTAGTTTATGGGCCGATGCTCTATCCACTGAGCCAAACCGGCTAAGGCATAAAACTGTACTTGATGCTCAACAGTGTTGTAATAGCTATGTATGGTGCCAGGGGGGTACTGGAAATATTGGGGGGAACACTTTGTACTTGATGCTTTAAAGAATTTCTTAAGATATTGAGTAAAATAAGGTGTAGAAAAGTGAGTGTAGAATGCTGACATTTTAGGAAACTATGATCCTCCTCTCACCCTTTAAGTGTATGTGAGTATGTGCATGTTTGTACAAGCACAGAGAAAAATATGAAAGACTGTACACTAATTTAGCATGAAGAATTAAACTAATGAAAGAGGGAAGGATAGGAGGGAAAGACAGAGGCTACCCAAAGAGGAAAAGAAAAAATAGATAGCACTAAAAAAATTCAAGTGAATGACCACATTTATTCATGAATGTAACATTATGTATATTGGGGTATTTGTAGGCAGAAATTAAATAAGATTTATATTTATTTGTTTAAAGTATGGGTTTCTCATATAGTTGGAATTTTAGGCCACATATGGGTATGTTGGTCACATGCGTCTTAGTGGTTGCATGCTCTGAAAACTGCTTTAAGCATATACAATCCTGGCACTAAGTTTGTTTTCTATATGATTTGTACTATTTGTGGAATCTTTGTGGTTATAGTTTCTCTAATGATTTCATTACCTGCATAATTTTTAAGAAAAATAGTGAAAATGAGTTTGATGGATTAACAGTTAAAACTTTTCGATTAGTAGGCCCTAGTTTAATGCTTACTTAGGAATATGGGACTGAAATCTTGTGTCTTTAGGAATTAGACTGACTTAGAAAAAACACTATTTTTGGCCATTTCAAATGTATTTTAGTAAATGAGGTGTGCAAGAGAAAAAGTTAAAAATCACTTTTCTACGAAGAAGAAAAACTTGTCCATTACTGAGCACAGACTAAGCTTTGGAATCTTATGAAGTTTAAGTTATAAATATTAGTATAAAATATACACTCTCTTCAACAGTGTTGTAATATCTATCTATGTATGGTGCCGGGGGGTACTGGAAATATTGGGAGGAACACTTTGTAAAGTATATAATTATCTAACCACTTTGCTATACACTTGAAATTAATACAAAATAATGTTAAATGTAAACTGTAATTGAAAAATAAAATTTAAAAATGTACTCTCTTTATGAAAGGACTAAATGCTAACAAACAGCATTAAATAAATGTTAAGACTCAGTACTGGTACAGTATAATTTACTATATCACAATTGTATTTCAGATGCCTTTGGTGCTTCACGAAGAATATTTCCAGATATATCACAGACATTAAGCCTTTGCCTCCCAACATAAAAGATAGACTGATTAGAATGATGAGCCTGCAGGGACAGATAACAGATTCAAATATAAGTGAGGTAAGAGTATGTACAACTATAAAGCAAGCATATTATATTTTACTGTTTGGATATGGTTTCAGATTTCTGGAGCAATGGTATATGGTAGGATTAATAATACTTTTAAGATATAATAAAGCATCAGGGTTTTTTTTCTCTCTAGAAAACCAGAATGTTCATGTGTAATAGTTCTAAAAAATCTCTCCTACCATTTTTCAGTTGTTTCCCTTGTCTTCATAGTACCAGCACCTTAATCTCCGTGTTTTTTAAAAGTTTTAAACTTTTTGATCAATTATACCATAATAAATCTGGAAAGAGTAAAACATTAAGTGCAGGGTAAATAAATAAGTGGTCAAAAAAAAAAAAAAAAGATCCACACTAAGAAATATATGTTACATTGTGACTCTAGTACACAAACCACACTTACCCGTGACAGTACAGCAGGCCCTCCAATACACATCATCCTATCTAATAAAAGAGAAACATGGTAATTAGCCGTACCTCTGCTACCCTTCCCATTGGCTAATCAGGGCGATATGAAAATTAACTGCCAGCCAAGATGGCGGCCGGCAGCCAGGCAGCTTGAAGCTAACAGGAGGCTTGCTTGCTTCAGTGACGGAGGAAGCCAACGTTCCCCGCCTGCCGCTGCTGGCCTCTGAGCTTGCAGTTTGAAACATTGTTACAAATATAGAAGCTAAACAAAACCCCAGAAACCTGCTTTCAGCCAGCCGGGATCTCAGAGCTGGAGTTGAAACAGTGTTTCAATTATAGAACCCAAACAAACCAGATACCTGCTTTCAGCAGCCGAGGCCTCAGAGCTGGAGCCAAGCCTCAGAGCTAAAGCTGGCCCAGAATAAAAAAAAAAAGAAAAAAAGGAGCGGTTGGGAGCTTCAGTCCCCCGCCAGCCTGAAAAC